GGCAAATGGTCATAATCAAGTGTTGATGAGGCAGACCTATGTTGGCCAGCACTGGTGGGCCAAGTGAGGCCAAGAGATTTAGAGCAAGGCTAGAGCTAGCACCCCTTCCCCTGTGCTTGGCCTGAGGGCCTTTATTCTAGGAGCACAAGTTGAAGTAACTACAATGCCAAGTCCAAGTAACATAATACCAGGAATAATAGATCAGAATTAGGACCCTGAGCCAAAATGAAGACAAACTAAACTCTTAGGAATCAATCCAGACCTGGGGAAGTTCAGGTCAGCAAAGCTCTGATCAGCCTGCTGTCAACCTAAAATATATGGTTATCCAGGATAACAGGCAGTCTAACAGAAACCCAGCCACCAAAACCACTATGGAAATCAAGTGTGGAGACTCCTGAAAAAATTTAAAGTAGAAGTTTCATTTGACCTAGATATTTGACCTAGGTATCTCCCAAAAGAGTTAAAGACATCATGTTACAGTGATACATGTAAATCTGGGAAGCAGCCTATATATCTCTATCAACAGATGGATAAGAAAAAGTAATAGTTACACACAATGAAGTACTACTCTGCCATAAGGACAGATAAACATCAGTCATCTATAGGAAAATGGAGGCACCTCGAGACCATAATGATAAGTGAAATAAATCAGACACCAAAGCTTAAACATCATCTGGTTTCTCTTATAGAAGAAGCCCAAATCATAAAGAACAAAATAAAATATAGATGTTAGGAATTAGGGAGATAAATCTTTCTCAAATGGGAAGGGAATTGAGAGATGGAGGAAGAGAAAAGGGATGAAAATGTGATTAAGATGTGCTATGTAGGGTCAGGGATTTAGCTCAGTGGTGCCGCCACCTGCCCCAAAAGCACAAGTACCAACTCTACCCAAAGAATGTAAATATTATGTACTGCAAACATGTACTAAAAAGAAAGAAAGAAACACAGCCACCAAAAAGGGAGACAGACTCACTTTGGATCACTAATTGTCCTGGTTTGCCTAGAATTGCCTCCGTTTTTGCAGTGAAAGCCCTGCATCCCAGGAATCCCCTATGGTCAAATGGGGACCACTGTCCATTCTACTGTTCATTCATTTATCAATCCATTTGCCAACCATGGGTTGAGTCCTTACTACCAGCTTCAGAGCAAGTTACTGGGAAGAATGGTTGAAAAGGACAGAGCAATATTTCCCCTTATGGGGAATATTTCACCATCTGGGGAGATTAAGGTAAAAGAGAATCAAGATCTTTCAAGCACAAAGACGAAAAAAATAAGGCAGTATGGTATGGACAGCTGTACCTAACAGTGCCCTTCGTATTGTCAGCGTCCCACCCAGAGAACTGAACTATCCACAACAGAGTGTGAGTCAGTTAGGTTCTTCTGCAGTGGGACGACACACAGATCAGACAGAAATATTATGAGAAGCAACATTTTTCACTGCTTCTGTTCTTTAGTTTTAAGACATTTCTCCTAATTTGTTGCCATGGTAGCGATTTTTATATGCCGCTACCACGTTTTCATTCAGCAATAGGTAATGAAAGGCAGCTACTAGAATTGCCAGAGAGGAACTAGAATTGTCAGATAAAATATAACATTAATGTAAATTAAATTTTAATTTCAGACAAACCACATATAATTTTTAGTGTATGTCCTACACAATACTTGAACATCCTTATGCTAAAATTTTATTCATAGTTTATCTGAAACTCAAATGAGAAACCTGTATCTTTATTTGCTAAGTTTGGCAAAGCTGCTAGGAATATAGAGGTCAAGAAGATAACTTTTTTATTCTTTTAGTTTATTAGTGCCTGTTTGCAATACATAATGTTTATATTCCTTGTGGAAAGTTGGTACCTGTACATAAGACATCCCAATTCCTCTTTTTCATCCCTTATCATCTCTCCTTCTATCTCTTGATCTCATCAAGGAGATAGATATCATCTTTATTCTTGGAGAGATTAGATTTCCAAGGGGGAGTCAGACAAAATAAGCAAATTAATTACAAACTATGAAACACGCTGAGAAGAAAACAAATAAAATCCACCAATACACGGCATGGACTGGGGGAGATCTTTCCCTCAGTAAAGAAGGTCTTCAGAAATAAATAACTTTTAGCCAGACAAATCTAAACAATTGAAAGGAGCAAGTCTTTCGGAAAGTGTGAGAGTGGAGTGGGGTGGGACGAGAAGGAGCGTATTCCAACAAAATGCCTGTGGGGTCAAGAACTTGAAATAAGAGCGAGTATGGGAAGCCCAGGACGAGGGTATTACAGTAGCCCAGGTGAAAAAACAAAACAAAACAAAAAGACCTTGTCTTGAATGCGTGAAGCAGCGACAGAGAAAGAAGCGGGCCCTTTCCAGCAAGCTGTGGAATGCACCTGGAAGACTTATTGTGTAAGTTGTAAGGGTGAGGGGAGAGCTAGGATGAATGCTGGATTCCTAGCAATGGTATTTCATGGTATCAAGAAACAAGGTGAAGGTATGTTTAAGGGCAACAGATGTTGGTGTGAACTCCACTGTTCCTTAACATCACAGAGTCCTTATTAAGTTAAATATTGTTACTAGCAAGCCTGTTAAGACAGCACCTGTAAATAAGCCTTAAGAATGAGCACAGCTGCAGAAGCTTCCCACCGCTCCTGCAAGCCCATCAGTAATCACCAACCATGCTTTCAGCTGCCACACACATGGTGTTGCCTGAGGCCAAAGCAGAGCTCAGCAAGTCCTAGAAATGAAATGCTCTGGACACAGGTGTTGGTCAGGGACAAGTGAGAATTTGTGAATAAACATGGCAGTTCTCTTGCTCCAAAGCCTTCCCAGGCCTTCTAGGTTTCCATGCACTTAGCACTCCTGTATCTTGTCTCCCTACTCCTGGCAGTAACTCCCCAGGTAGGGATGATATTTCACCCAGGCCAGACTGTTCACACTAATTAAAATAAACTGATTTATTTTCACTTAGTTGTGCTTCAGGTCAGCTAGGAAGTTGTGTATCGTTCCCTTAATAACCTGTTCTCTGAGATGTTTTCTTCTAACAGGCTGCTCAAGAAATATACTATCTCTTTCCTTTGAAATAGAAAGCCTTAAAGAATGAAAAGTACACTAGTTAAGTTGCCTCCAATAGTAGGCAGGTTTTCTGCCAGACCCTCTTGGCACTTCGTTTATTTTGCTATTAGAAAAGTGTGCAACAACAGCCACTTTTCTCTGCTTCCTTCCAGAGAGATTTCTGTCCAAGCCCAGGCTACTATCAATGGCTTGGACCAATGGCTCTCAATGGGAGCAATTTTGTTTCCCTATACCCACTCCAAGATATCTGACAAAGACTGGAGACACCTTGGGTTATCACAACTGGGGAAAGCTCTGCTGGCATCTGGTCAGCTAAATAAACATCCTAGGAATAACAGAACAGTCTCCCACAACAAAGAGCTATCTGGTATCCAGTATCAACAGATGCAATGGTTCTTCACTTTGGCTGTGCATTAAATCTCTAAGCAGCTCCTTTCACTCACAGAGCTCAGGGAGTGCCACAGATCAACTACTTGAAAAACTAAAGCAGTGCCCTGTGCGGAGAACTCTTTTAAAAACTCCTGACATGAGTGCATTGCACAAACAAGGCTGACACCACTGCCTTAGACCTTTGTAACAGAATGAAAACACCCTGTTGCAAACCTCAGATCTTGGTCCAACTTGGGGTTTCCTAGGGTCTACAGAATGAAGCTCCCCATTTCCCAGTAAACATGGGAAAGGATGGCTGTGTGGAGTGAGGGATTACTCAAGAGGAAAAGCAAACCCTAGACCGCCTATCAGAAAGCAAGCATGTAAGAGTGCCCAGATGGGGCAAAGGAAGAGGTGGTGATGGGCAGAGGGAGTTAAGAGAAGCTAAGGCCCAGTTGTAAACTAGAAATTAAAAATTAACTCTGGGAGGGCCAGGAATTTGGCTCAGTGATGCCACCACCTGCCTCGCAAGTACAGGTCCCAAGTTCAATCCCCAGTACCAAAAAATAAAATAAAATAAAAATAAACTCTAGGAGTTTGAGGTATGAAGGTTGTAAGTTTGAGTCCAGCCTGGGCAATTTAATGACTAAATGATACCCTGTCAAAAAAAAAAAGCAGAGAATGTGGCAATGTAACTAAGTGCAAAGGCCCTGGGGTCATCCCCCAGAACTGCAAAAGAAAAGAGTGAATATGCAGTTACTGTATTATGATTTTCTAGTAATACAGAAATGCCTCAGAAAATATATGAAAGTGTTCTTACTATTGAATCTGAAGGAAATTTTGTCCTTCTGGGAAGCTATTTTACTCCTAAATGAAACAAAAATAGACTTAAAGTCTTGAGTACTGACATCCAAACTTATTTGTGACATTTAGTGGACAGCTAGCCTTTAATTTGATAAAATCGACTTTATATAATTGCATTACAAAATCAGAGACCAACATATGGCCAAAATTTATGCTTTTATGAGGCAGTAGAGTATGTGGTTAAGAGCACAGATGCTAGACTGCCTGGATTCAAATCTAGGTTCTATGATTTGGTGGTGGTATGACCCTGAGAAAATTATTTAGCCTACCTAAGTTTTGGTTTAGCTATAAAATGATTACACCTTCCTCATAGTATTAGTTAAAATAAGTTGCTTAAAATAATGCCTATCATATTGTATATATAAGTAGCTATTATTTGGGGAAAGTTTTTTTAAATCTTGCTCTGGAAACATTGATTTTTAATGATATCTAGTAGATGCTTCTTCACATAATACAATACAGTAAAACCTTGGATTGTGAGTAACTTGTTCTGAGAGTGGTCTGCAAGATGAGCAAATGTTTCTAATAAATTTTAGCTTCATAAATGAGCAGTGTCCTGCAATATGAGAGGTACACAACACCCATTGTCACATGATCACAACTGAGCCAGTGGTTCCTGGGGTGTGTGTGTGTGTGTGTGTGTATGTGTGTGATTGTGGGTGATCATTCCCAACAGCAAGAGGTTATGGAAGAGGTCTTGTCGTCAGAGGAGGAGGAGAAAAAGGTGAAGGAATCCCTCATTTCAAATGAGATTAGGGAGATGTGTAAAATAAGGGAAACTGTGAAATTGTACAGAAAACATCACTCAAATAAGGCTGTAGCAGTGCAAGCGATGAATCTGTTTAAGTACAATGCAATGTCACATTTCTGAGAAAAGAAGGAAAAGAAAACAAAACCTAGTGTCATTGGATAAGTTCCTTCATAAAGTTACACAAAAGAAAAAATTCCATTGAGCCAATAGATAGCAGTGATTTCTCTAGTGATAGTGAAAGCTGTCCTATATAATAAATAACATTCCTTTCTCTTGTCTGTCTCACATCAGCCACAAAGATTTTCAAAGGTAAGTACAGGTTAATTTGTTTATTTTTCTTTGTAATTTATATTTTCTTTATTATTTTGTATTATATTACAGTGTTGTAATATTGGTATATGTATTTTTAGGATTGTGGAATGAATCATCTGAGCTACCATTATATCTTATGGGGAAATTTGCTTTATATAAATGCTTTGGATTAGGAGCATGTTTCCAGAATGAATTATGGTCACAAACCAAAGTTTTACTGCACATGAATTTCCTTGCTTGAAAGAATCACAATTAAGAATGTAGGATCTGAAGTCCAGTACTTTCGTAGCCAGAAAAATTTGAGCAAGTAAGTACTTCTCTAAGCCTTTTCTTCTTCAATGGAAAGAAAAATGAAGTCCAGCTTTCGTAGCCAGAAAAATTTGAGCAAAAAAAAACATCTCTAAGCCTTTTCTTCTTCAATGGAAAGAAGGAAATGATTTATATCACAGGAATTTATTTTGTGAGAGTTTAGTGAGATAATGCATTAAGTCACCCACATGGTTTTCAGCACAGAGCATGGGCAAATATTTGTTATTATTATTGTAATTCTTTATTTTTACTGTTGTGACTCAGTAAATACGTACTGTACTTCCCCAAAATAAGACTGAATTTTATATTAATTTTTCCTCACACAGTAAAACATTTTTTCAGGGAATGTTGTATTTCTTCATGCACAAAAACTTACATTTATTCATGTACAACAATCTACATTTATTCATTTATTCATGTACAAATATCTACATTTCTTTATTATAAATATCTACATTTGCTCAAGTACAATCCTGCAGTCTTCTGGAACATCATCATAACTCTCCACACCCCAAATTCTGGCCTGATTTCTTTGTAGTTCTAGCTCATGTAGACCCATTGGCCCCAGTCTCTCATGTCCAGCTGTAGAGCTCTCCTTAAGTGAGCCCTTCATGTCCATGTGGGCTGCTCATTGTACATTAGCTGCACAGCTGTCAGCGATTTTATCCCATGAGTTCTTCACCCAAGTCACAGCCTCTTGCAAGTGAGACTTCACAGAGTTTCCATTAAATAAAGCATTAAATGAAGACTTATGGGACAAGAGTGGCAAGAAAATTGATGACAGTTAAGAATGATGGTCCACACTCTAAACAACAAAAAAATGCAGGCACCAAAATTCAGAAGACGTTTATTACATAAAAATGCATTGAGTACATCTGTTACAACACAACATATTGAATTATGAAGATTCATATTAGACGCCACCACATCTGTTCATTATCAAGTTCACATGTTGTTTGTGCATTGTGTCTGAACTCAGATTGGTCATTCAGCAGTAAGTATTGAGTTCATCTGTTTACATAGGCATTAACCTGTTGTCCAAAGGATCCCCCTTGGGTATTTACAAATAATTATAACTTATGCTGTCATTTATTTTTAGTATTAATGTCAATAATATTATTTATAGTTGATTATATACTAATATTCTTATTTCATAATTGAACACTTGTGTTACAACAGACATCTAAATGCCTCCATCTGGCTGACAATCCTAACTGGGTTCCTTTTGTGGGTAGGGCTTATCTTATGAGCATCCTGAAAAATCAGGCTAGGGCTTACTTCCACTTAGGTCTTATTTTGGGGGAAATATGGTAGCTCCTGCCTCAGAGTGGCTATGGTGCATCTACTACAGGAGATACTAGAATAACTAAGCTGAAGTCGTGTTCCCAGTAAGTTAGCATGTAGCTGCGGAGGAAGGTGTGCCCTTCGAAAGCTGTAAGTACCAGCTGTGTGGAGTATGGGACATGTAGAAGCAGTTTATCCTTTTTTTTCATCCCTAGGTCCAAGAGTAAGAAACCGTATTGAAAGTTGATTTGGGATCTCAACAATGTGTATTAATGGATCAACTGAAGTAGAAGTTAAGACAGAATTTAAAGTGCCTTTAATGAGAGCAGTTTCCATGTGACCATCTACAGAGCTTTTCTTCTTTCTTAATCATGAGGGCCCTTGGGGTGCTCATTAACATAACCTAAAGTTTTAAAATCTAAAATTACCCAAGCAACTTTGACACAGCCCACTGCAGCACTATTAACAGTGATATGTGTAAAAACCAAGTACTGTAATTCTATGTAGTCGCTACAAGAGAAATTCAACAAATCAGGTAGTTTTGTTCATTCATGAACATTTACTGACTCCGTTTTGGATTCTATGAATAAACTTAGAATCTGAAGAACAGGTATATTTGATGATACCCCTTGAAAATGTATGTGACAACTAAGAATGCATACAACTGTAAGTATCTGAAAATCTAACATTAGCTTCACAACTAGGACTTTATCTTATTGAAGAAGTCTGGCTCAGTGTGGTATAGCCTGCCTGTAATGTCTGTCCTTTGAGAGCCCAGGCAAGAGTATTGCAAGTTTGAGTTTGGCCTGGGCAACTCAATGACTTATCAAGACCCTGTCTCAAAATAAAAAGTAAAAATGACTGGGAATGATACTCAGTGAAAAGGCTCTGGGTTTGATCCCTAGTACCATAAAAGAAGGAGGAAGAGGAGCTGAGGGGAGAGTGAGCTGGAAGAAGAAGGAAGGAGGAGGAAGAAGAGGAAGAGGAGGAGGAGGAGGAGGAGGAGGATGCTTTTATGGATACCACCCCCAGAAGGGAAAACCCTGTCAATACTTGCTTTGTGTAGAAAATGCTTCAGACATCTGCCCAATTTCACCCCAAATAATTCCCCAGTAAAACGATTTGTCAATCTTCTGTTTGTTTGAGGTCAGAAAGTTGACTGACAATTGTCTAACACCTGACAAGGTCACTTTTAGTTACAAGCGTATGATGAGGACAGTCAGTTCCTAATCAAAACCTAGAATCCTAGTTTTCAAATAGGAAGGATTCTAGAAGAATTGAACAGGTAATTTCTCCTGGCAAAACTTTTTCTTTAGAACTAAGCTGTGACACTAGTAGATCTTCAAAGATTCCCCCAGATCTAATATTCTGTAAATCTGCAAATATACTCGAAAACCTAAAAGTACAACCTTGAATCTCTACTTTCTAAGGTACTAGCTTTTATGTCCTCCAGGCTAGACTGAGTGTCTTTTCTCAGTACCCAAACTCCCACCACATCTGTCTTTACCCCTTTCAAAGATTGACTCAATATACACCCTCTGGAGTCAAGCTGCCAGATTTGTGTTCTGGGGCCAAGGATTTAGCTCGGGGGCATTGTGCCTGCCTTGCAAGCGCAAGGTAATGCGTTCAATTCTTGGTACAAAAAAAAAAAAAAAAAAAAAAAAAGATTTGTGTTCTATGTCAGCATATCAGCCCTTAGACTTGGACAAGTTATTAACCCTTTAAATCTCATTGTATAACGGGGACTTGCTTTGAGTTGTTTTGGAGGATATGTGAAGCCCCTAGTTTAATTTAGTGCTAGACACAAATCAGAGCTTTATGAGTTTTTGTCTACTATAATTGTCTTTCTTCACTATTAATTCCTCTAAGAAAGACCCATATTCATATTCATATTCATTCTTCATATTCATAGCCTCAGGGCACATGACAGGCTCATAAGCATTTAAACAATGCAGAGGAGACCTTCAGGCCAGTGCCTTACAAGAATTTATTAGGACACAGGCTTCTCTGCCCAAGAGTCTCCAGAGAAATCAACTATCCCCAGGATTTGCAGACCAATACCAGTTCATCCAGTCTGCATTGATGTCTCCTTCCAAATGGCTGGAAGAACCAAATAATTTTGGAGCCACCCTTCTGTAGAGAATGTCGTTGGAGTGGAAGCTGCCTGCTTGGCTTGTAGGATATGGCTTCAGGGTAGTTAGCTCATATAGAACTAATAATGATACACTGATGCTTTTCCACCTTAATTCTCTTTTTTATTAGTGTTTGTGGTACATAGTAAATATATTGATCATGGGGTGTTTATACATAATATATATAGTACCTTACTCCTTCTTACTTCCTTCTCTCCCCCTTCCCATCTACTCCACCTCCAGATCCCTTTCATATCTCCACAGTCTACCTTCCTATTTCCTATTTCCTGTCATCCATCTCTCATCTTGCTCTTTAAATTATTTATACTTTAGCTTTCTAGTTTCTAGTTTCTAGAGAAACTGCAATATTTCTGTGTCTGATTTCATTTAGTATTATGGTGTCACAGTGTATCCATTTTTCTGCATATGACTCAAATTTATCCTTCCTAATACCATATATATATATACATACCTTGGAAGCAATATATGTATATATTGCTTCCAAGATTTATTATGAGTTTTGCTGCTATATACATGATACTTACATATCACTGTAATATGATACCTTCAGAGGAGATACCCAGAAAAAATATAGCTGAATTAAATGGAATTTTTAGTTTTAGTTTTTTGAGGAATCTTCAGACTGATTTCAATAGTAACTGTACTAGTTTATATGGCCACCAACAATGAAGAAGTTTGTATTTTTCCCACAACCTCAATCCATGTTGTTTTTTGTTTTTTGTGTTACTGATGACAGCCGTTCCTTCTGGAGTAAGACATGGTCTCGGTGTTACTTTGATTTGTATTTCTTTAATGTTCAAAGTTGCTGAACATGCTTTCATACATTTGTATTTCTCCTGAGGTGTTTATTGATTCTTTCCTTTTTCTATTAAGTTTATTGGTACATTCTAGGTACACAATACAGTTACATTCCTAATTAGGATCTTGTACCTTTACATGATGTATCTTGGTTCTTATTTTTTCCCCATTCCCCTGCACTCCCTTCACCCTTCCCTATTACAAAGACTTTGTTTCCATGTTTTTCCTTTTCTCATATTTTTTCTTTTCCCTTCTCTCCCTTCCCCATCCCTCCCACTTCCCATACTCCTTTACACCTTTTCTTCCTATTTCACAGTAACAATTATACATTTCAATCCTTATTTACACTTTTACTCTCACACCAGAGAAACTATTTGGTATTTATACATGTGGGTCCTATTAATTTCACTTAAGAGTATGACCTCAATGTGCCTTAGCTATAAATGTCTCTAGTTTCTCATTCTTTATGGCTGAATAGTACTCCAGGTTGTAAAAAACAAACAAACAAACAAAAGGCACATCTTCTTTATCCAGTCTCCAGTTGATGGACTATTGGTCTGTTTCTGAGTTTTAACTATTACAATTTGTGCCACTATAAACACTGTGTGCGTATATTACTGTGGTATGATTCTTTTAATTCTTTTGGAAAGATACCCAGCAGAGGAATAGCTCTGGGTCAAGTGGAAGTGGAACTTCTAATCCTAGTTGTTTGAGTTTGATTTCCACAGTGGTCGCACCACTCTGCACTACCACAAACAATGAA